GCTGCAATTGGAGAGGGCAAAACTCAGAGGAGTGGGGGGGACTACTAACCGGTCACTGGAATCTGAGAAAACATCTACACAACATGGGGTATATACAATAATGATCCCATTTGCAGATTATGTAATGAGGAGGAGGAAACAGCCACTCATATCATCTTCGAATGCGAAGCAACAGCTCAATGGAGGTTTAACCTAACGTACGAAAAAGACTCAGGGAACCAAATTGCAGCAATAACAATCAATGACCTGATACTTCTGAGAAGAAGGATTGAGTCTATTGACTAAACTAGGGAACTGGGAAGGTACAATAAGCCAGAAGGCTGCGCTTCCGAGCATCCCTTCCACCATACCATACCATATACATTTGAAAATCCCTATAGCCCTGAGGTACCGGTACAGCGATTTGTGCCCGCTGCTGTGCCCCAAGACTACGCACAGGTCCGCTGATATTCCAAAATATTGCCTATAAACGTCGAGCCTTCTACAATTGAATAGGTGCTCGACTGTTACGCTATCCTTGCATAATGGGCACTTTTGCGGTCGCTTTCCTGCTAGAAGGTGCCCGTGCGTAATTCTTGTATGACCTATTCGTAGTCTTGTCAGTATGACCTTTTCCCTTTTTGACCCATTTTCCGTGAACCAGGGACCGACGTCTTTCTTAACCTGCCACAATTTGGCAGGGTTATTCCTATTTTTCCGAGCCCAGCGGTTTTTCCATTCTTCTTTTATCGTATTTGAAATTACTAACTTGAGATCCGCTGGGCGTATTAGTTGGGAAGCGTCGTGAGGTCCTCTGGCTGCTTCTTTGGCCGCCCTGTCTGCTTCTTCGTTCCCGGCTATCCCTATGTGGCCGGGAACCCACACCAACACGACCTTCTTCCCAACTGTGTCGATCCCTTTTAATTGTTGTTTTATTTTGTTTACTAATGGGTCCACGGAGCTTCTTCTCCTGAGCTTCTGCACCGCACTGAGCGAGTCGGTATAAATCACAAATGATTCTTGACGCTGACTTTTTATTATGCTCAGTGCGAGGGAAATGGCATATAGTATTCTAATATTATAATTATTCATAACAATCAGGGATAAGGAGAATTTAAAAAACACTCAATTCCTCGTCAGGCTTTCCATTAATATGTCACGGACCGGTCGCAGAAAATGTAGGAAAATACAGGGGACAACAACAGAGGTTAAGGTAGTAGGAGAAGCTATGATAAGGTGCGCCTGGCTAGACCCTTCACGTGAATCGGGGACTCCGAACAGGATTGAAGACTACTATGCCCTAGTAAATGTTTGCATGCTTTTCAAATCGTTGTTTGCCTCAATTTATTTTATAGCTCTTTTGATTTTGTAATTTCAATAGCATAGGAAATAATTTTATATTACTTTGATGTTGGGTACTTTATAATCTTTAAATTGTTCGGTTTAATTAATTTTTTATTAAGCGCTGTAATTACATTTTGCATCTGATATTATACTGAAAATAAAAGATTTGTGCTTAATAGTAACTTATTCGAAAATTTTGAACCTTCCTAATGGATTCCGTTCAGGATTTCTTGTAGTGACTTTCTGCCGCTAAACGAGGGGTGGTGTCACCCTCACTTTTTGAGGATGTCACTGTTTGTGTAATGGGGCGCATTGGAATGCTGGGTGGGGGATGGTCGAAGGAGGGGAGATGTTGGACTGGAGCTGGAGAAGAGAGGTCAGGTGTGTTCCAGACTCGTCAACGTTTGCTTAAGCGTAAAATACCTTAATTGAGTTACCACATGGTGAGTTGGGCGATTACACTGTAACGTGGTTGTAGACTGGAATTAGGGAACGTCTTGGTTTCGTTTGTAGTAACTTTGGTTTATATTGTATATATATATTTATGTCTTGTAAATACATTATGTTTTAGTTGGTTTATTTTAGCGAGTGTGTTTTATTTGTTTCATTTTAATTTCCCAGTACCCATCATTATCCCCGGTTAAGAAGTGTTGGATGTTTGTTTGTCGTGCCGTCGAAGGATCGACGTCACAGTGGTCACAAATATATCCCCTTCAAACAACTAGTTGAAATAATTCACAGTTACCAAATGTAAACTTCTACTTATAGTGTTTAAAATAATTGCTTCAACTATAATGAATTTATGAGTTTAGCTAAAGAGAGTGGATGAGATCTACCACCCGTTCAATTTGCATTACAATTGTTATTAATCATTATAATTGTCGATACTGAAACCAACAGGTAATTATCACAGTTTTAATTCGGCCTGTTAAGAACAAGTTGATATATTCTTTCGTAATTTTTTTATAGCGAAATATGTAGTCAATGCAATCAGTCATAACCATGATTATCAATTTTACTGATTAAAATAGCATTTTAACGTAAAACGAACGATCAGAATCGAATATATTAATAAAAGTTGATTCTAAGAACTTACATCTTATTTCCGTCCAAAATAAAGTTTGATTTTTGTCGGGTTTGAGACATTTAGCCAAAAGGGCGCGCTGTGTCCTCTCTTCCTCTTCGAAAGGAAGACGGAAAGCCTGGCTTAGATCCAGTGAATCTATTGCGAGCCCTTTCCTTGGCAAAGGATCCGCCTTTTCGTTAATTTCAGCGACCTTGTGACCAGAAATTTATCAAAGCACGAACCCATAACATCTAAGACATAGACATATTCCTCGGGGACTAGACATCCTCAGAAATACTTAAATTAATAATGTAGTTTAGGCGGGATCCAAAGAGTAAGTCCTTTTTCAGACGAGGCGTGTTGGTTGATTTTGACGAAGTTGTCTGGTTGACTTTCAAATAGTCGACACACGTTTGTTGGCTGGGTTCAGACTTTCAACTGCTCTTCCCAACAGGAGTCAGTACGATGTTGGAATCCGAAGAAGCAAGAGTACTTCTTGTGGTCTTCTGTAAGAAGAAAGCTAAAAAAATTAGTTAGCCTAGTTGAAGAAAAGTGGGTCCATGGGGTTACAAAATGGAGAAACGGGTACTTTTTCACACTACTGACGTGCCACTTCCCTCCAAGCTTAATTCCTTTTATTTCAACCCTCAATACTTCATGTTAAACTGTTCCACATTGAAACAGCAGTTGCAACATTTTCTATAGTAATTGCAGAATGAGCGGGTTTTAAGGAGTGTTGCTGGGCAGTAAATGTTTTGAAACAGTTTTGTTGGGTGGCAGCAGAAGCAAGTGCCGCTAACGTTCTCATCACCACAGGTTGACGGGTTGACTCAATTTAAAGACACTAATAGGCATCCGTCCTTCACGCCAGTCGCCTAGTTGAGTCAACTGAATTCAACTATGGAAAGCGTTCCAACTCAAATTTCAATATGGAACAGTTTATTAGACATTGGGATTAATCCCCAATATGGTACATGAGGGGTAGTGAATATAATAATTAAAAGATGTGAAGCTTGAAGGGACTCGGTTTATTGCAGAAGAGCAAGCACAAGAAGTGCTCCTGCATCCTTGGGTAGTAACAACGAACTGAACTACCGCAGGGAAGAGAAGTTAAGTTAACAAAGTTGCCTGGTGTGAAACAAGCCAAGAAAAGTCTTCACATGGCCGTTACTAGTTGAAGTCAACCGGGCATTTAGTTGAATCAACTAAAACCACCTCGTGTGAAACTAGCCCTCTATCATACGAGGCGGTTTCGTTGATTCAACTAAGTTACCTGGTTTGGTGTGTGAAGACTTTTCTTGTTCTATCATATCTATTTTCGCTTTTTTTGATTGTATTACTTACCCAAGCCAAGTAAGTATCTTTTCTGCACGTACATTTAAGTATACCGAGCTATGACTTTCTTGTCAATTAAACTCATTGAAAACAATATTTCAGCCATTTATTACTACCAATTTTTTATTTCACAAAACTTTCTAACTGCGTAAGGAAATTTGAACAAGAAAACAATTCAAACCTTGATTTAAAAAAACGTGTAGACGATAAATTTGCTGTAGCTGACGAACTCTCAACCCCGTTTGGTTTTCTCTTTTCATCATGTTTATGCGTCCCAATGCCATAAACATACAAAATGGCGTATCAGTGTAATTATCGGCGAACTCCTGTGTTTAAGAAAACGCACATCGAGCCTGAAAGGCGTTTTGATAGCCTGTACCAGGTCTGATCAATACTGAAACAACTAATTAAGGTTTTTAGTTGAGATGAAAAAAAAGTTAATGGGACGACAGGGATTCGAACCCAAGACCTTCGGCTAGATACGCCGCTGCTCTACCACCTCTACCGTGGGTTTGAATCCCTCTCGTGCCATTAACTTTTTTTCATCTCAACTAAATACCTTAATTAATTGTCACGTATTAATTGGTCAAGCGGACCACGAAAGCAGTGAATTACTGATCCAACTGTTGACAATATTCATCACATAAAAAGTCAGCCGGGAAAATTTTGTAAATCAGTTTATTTTTTAGTCAAAAACATTAAAACAATCAAATTTGACAGTATGTACAACATATGTCCTAACAATGCTGTATAACAATTTTCATGCATGTTTACCTAATAAACGTTAGGTTCAGAAAATCCAGCATCGTGTTATGATTAAATGTGCTACAATTTTTGCAAGTATATCTGTAACAATAATGAAATGTCAACTTGTAATTGTCATTTTATGACACATATTTTTGGTTGTAATAAAGAGCATAAAAATTCTATTGCACTAGCACTCTAAGTACTGTCATAAAATACCCTCCTTCTNATATATATATATATATATATATTTATATCGCGCGCACACAGTTATTCTCTTTCGGTCTGTGGCTGTAAATGCACCTCGTTAATACCATTTAGCTAACACGACAAGATAACAGTGTCAACTTACAACGGACTGATAACTAAATATTTCAGAACCGATTTTTACGACCGAACTACAAGTTGACTAACCCGGTAAATAACAAGAGTAGTATGTTTGTTTCTACCCAGATAATTTTCTTGTGTTGTCTTTTTCTTTGGTTTAATAATTCATAGGATTGAGTTTGATTTTCTTATTTGTTTGTTTTAGGAAAGTGTGGGACCCAACCGGCACGTGATATCATTATTCGCAGGCGTCGACTTATCTGATGCCAAAGTTCACCTATTGATCAGGGTAAGTTCAATAATGAAAAATTCTTTTATTGATAAATAATAAAGCGTCGATATTAGCTTTGATTTTGATCTAATTTAAACTTTGCCCATTTTCTTCATTTGTCTATCCTCGCTGGGTTGGTCTAACAGGACGCATTTCGGCATTTCGCCATTTTGATAGACGTGTTTGTTTCTTTTGCCTGATGAAGTATTTAATACTCGAAATCTGGATAGCTGCGCAAAACTTCTCTGAGTAGAACTGTATTTTCCAAAAAGTGAATTGCCATACTCACCCCACCTCAAACTATCTCTTTGGAGTTCGGAAATGTGTTGCAAATGTGTTTTGACTATTATCAACAAGTGTTTCGAGTGTTGTACGTAAAACAGGAGAATATAATGTTAGGAAAACATTCTTCGATCTGTTTTTATACGTAGTACTTAAACGGGTATTTCAGTACTGATTTTCAATTGGTTGGTTATTTGTTTATACCGCAAGTGGTCGCATTTAAGAAGGGGGATTTAAACAACAATGCTTTGCTTAGGCTGATTGCACTTATCTTTTTAAATGGATAGATGTTAGCAAAATGCATCACACTGACTTATTCCACACTTATTTTCTACTATTGAAAGGAAAATAAGAGCGCCATATGTAAAAATCTAAGAAGAAGGGTGTAAAAAAGCTTTATTAAAAAGCGCTGATTTCAACATAACTCTCATATATAATCAACTTGACGCAATCATAAAAGTGTGAAGGCCGTTAGACATTTCGATTAACAAACTCATCGACAACGTTACAACCTGCGTTGAAAATCGCTTAGGTATAAACACGACGGGGCAAAAACTTAAAAGCATAAAGTCACCGTGCTATTAAACTTTAATCTTTCCGCCGCCGAAGACATAATCCTGCTTTCACGTTGTACAGTAACTTTATTCCTCTTGGAAAAGTTCTCAGACCTCCCTTTTTACCAAACAATGCATAATATTATATTCCGTTAAAAAGCGAAGACGTTTCATCTCTGAAAACTGCATACGCTCTACATGACGAATTAGTACAAAGCGAGACTATGTTGTTAATTTGTTTGGATTGTAAATCCAGAATATTAAGATGTCCCCATTTATATTTGATCCCTGTACACTCAAAGGCATAAAAAGGACTCTCATATTTTGTCGTTTATTTCATACTATATATATTTTTATCGGTATTTGAATTACAACATACTTATTTTAATGTAAATCAAATTAAACGAGATCCGAAATTCATGAATTTTAATAAAATTACATATTTAATTATGATGGTTTGAAAGAAAATTCACCAAAACACCAGTCTCCTAGGCGACGAATAAATAAACGATCGTATTTCGTATTGTCAAGCAGAATCCCATTCTTCAACAAGAGCGGTTTGAAGTTGTTCAACGCTTGTTGGAGGCGGCGAACGATTCTAACCCGTCTTTTTATCATGCCCAATATGTGTACTGGATTCATGTCAGGAGAACGTGCTGGCCATATTGTGGGCATTTTTACATCCTCTAAGTCATGCGGTCGAGCGTTATCATGCATTAACACGAACTTGTCACCAATAAACGGGGCGAATGGGACTACAGTTTACAGAAGAACTTACTCAATGTACCTTAGTGTAGTCAAAGATCGATTCTGTGTCATAATCAGTTCGATACGGGCATGGACGATGATCCACTCCATACCATAACTTTTGGTGACGGGAACAGGCTGTGACTGTGTACTGTTATTGCAATAATGAGGAGTAGTATGCGCTTCCATGCAATCTTGCGTCATGAGGCTTCATCTCTGGTTTAGGATGTCTAGTTATTACTTGCCCCCTTTTCCTTGCCACGCTTCCTATGCCAGTCATTGGCGCATGCACATTTCCCTCTTCTAAACTGCTTTCTGTAACTAGAAGCAAATTTGGTGACTCAATGCCCATTTTCGATATGATAATATCAGCCGCAAATGTGAAACCAGCAACAAGTAGAAACCCAACACAGGCTGGAATGAAGGCATATGGCCCTTCAGACATCTCAATTGCAGGGGCTAACAGAGACCAGTAGGAAGCAGCAGTCATGACTCCAGCTGCAAAAACTAAACTACCGTCTAGTAGCTTTGGCTGGGTCCCTTTGAAAAATACTACAGTCAAGGCCCCCGCTGCAGTGACAGCCCATGTGAAAAGAGTTCCAAAAAGAGCCTGGACGAGTGGAGTGTAGCCTTCCAACATAGCGAATTATTGTACAGGAGCTACTTTCAGAAAACCATATCTGAACGGAATATCAGTCCTTCTTCGATTTTTTCGGCGTTTTTCAATAACTGTACACACGGCCAGATGTTTACACTCGTCCGACTTCGATGTATTCGCACTTCACATGGCCGCTGTTACATTTAACTGGGGGGGGGGCTCTCCGTTTGACAACAGTCTCGACTCCCAACAGGCTGTGACTGCATGGCCCATGAAGCTCCACGGCTTCTGCACGCAGCGAGCTGCTTGCTTATTTGCGAATGGTCGCATCCCGTAGTAGAGAACAGAGACTAGGCTATTCTCAAGAAGCCTTCTGATGACTGTTTGATGAGATTTCTGATGAGCTCACTCACTCAATTTCAAACTGTCGGTAATGTAAGGACCGTTGGAGTTCATTACGTATCAAGGAAGCCGTTAACTCACGATTCTTTTGTTATCTTCACGATATTCTTTTGTTGGTAATAACCAACCTTTTAGATTTCCCTGGCACAATGTTCAATAGCCCATCCTCCACTTGAAAGACAGTGGCATATTGCTAAAGGAATGTATAAATTCCAGTCCTGGGTTTAGGTTCAATGGGAAACTACAACAAATTATTTATTGATTTCTTGCAAAAATACCACATATATTCTTCCTCTTTCAAAATGTATTGGGAAATAGGAAAGGTACTAATTTTAAGACAAAATATCGACAAGACGGACCAACTATAAAAAAAACGGAAAACTAACATGCGAATGCGGAGTCAAATACATCGGACAGACAGGCAAAAACTAAAAGTCAAATAGATATATAATAGATAAACATGTCACGATTGCTCAAGTAAATTTGTATAAAATCCAGAGGAGTTATGGAGTTTCAATGGGAACATCAGACATCGGCAAAAATTTGCCGATTGGTGAATCCAGACCAAACATGTCCATTTTTAATGCTCCATTCGTATATAAGAGCTTTAAAGTGTGCTTAAAATGAATCCGATTTTTTTATTATTACTAAAAAAACGGTGATTTCATGTCTGGAGCCTCCGCTTGTATTGTACAAGTATAGGGATTTTCCTGTCATCTGAGATTTCAATCCAGTGGAATTTTTCCCATGTTGCTTGATGGAGTTTACTCACGTTCTAACAAGTTAGAAGTGTTAAAAAATATATATAAGTACGACTTATATTATGTTCGTCCCAGAAACACTGTGATTTATAGTTCTTTAATTGAAATGACGATCCGATTTTTATTACAACCGTTAACTAAGGAAGTGAAATTAATATATTAAATTTCAATTGGCTGACATAAATAATTTACAGCTTCTGGGATGAAGTAACGTCACTTAATTAGCTTTGACCCTAGCGAGTTCCTCTGACACTTCTCACCTAATTTATAATCGGTTCGTACGGCTAGCAAATTCACCAACGCCGTATTCTGTTTACATTCATCCTGTTCCAACATTTCCCCCTTGCTTATTAGGGTGGACAAACCACCACGATTTTAGACCTATCCCACAAAATTAGGTCATGGTTTTTTTTTCAATATTCGTTCCATTGCATTAATTCCAAAATAATTATTTTATTGTTGAAAATAGCCATAACCAATCGAGAGTTTTTAATATGCTATTTGCTAGCATGAAACAAACGACTGTAAATTAACAATACTCGATAATGAAAGTATGCCGTTCGTTTATTTGAATTTGTTTGAAAACTTGTTATAATTATATTTGCGTTTATTAACTAGGCTCAAGTGCTTTGAAGTTTTTCAAGACCCTGACATTTTTTACCATTCTCAAAATGACTTAAACGATAATGGAAGAGGCTCAGGTGTCTCCCGTAACTTAAGATAGTCATTATTAGCTTAAGAGTCCATGAGCTGCTTTTATCCTATTTATCTCCAAGCAAAATACATCTGCTTTCAACGCCTACCAATTATACAACATAAATTAACTCGTTTCACTACTCTGAATTAATTCAAATTATGAATAACCAGCCTAACACAGGCAATTTCTTTTGCCTTGAGTAATAGTGGGTGGTCCGTCAAGTCTTACCTATTTCAATCTGCTCGTTCTTCATTTCCAAATTCAGTGGATGTCTATGTGAACATCTTTCATTTGGTTGATTCTGGTATAATTTTATTTTAACGTGAGCTGGATACACAATTTATTTTTGTGTGACAATTTTAGCGTCATTAATTTGATAGAAATGATAAATAGTGGAGTGAGTGTGTGTTCAATCTTTTTAAAAATATAGTCCCTACTCACAGTTAGTTGTTTTCACTGATACGGATTTCTAGCTTTTAGCTCATCCTCAGGTTGAAAAAATTTACATGCACGTCTCTCGACATGAATTGTAAGAGTAAATTCGCGGATCCCCCGCCAACGCGACGTTCCAATGAGACGCTGGTTTTTAAAGCGCTCAATTTTGAACGTGCGGAAAGCGTGAATTATAACACAAGTCAATATTATATTAATAAATACTGTAAGAAAACAATTATAAATTAGTGATTAATTTAATTGTTTTATTAATTAATAAAAAAATAAATTGATACATTAATAGCTTTTAAAAAAATTGTGTGTTCATTTTATACTCAACCCAGAAAAGTCATCAAATAATTCTTGTTGAATGGATTTAAAAGCGTTGTCAGCATAGTTCATTACTTAAATGTTCATTTATTTATTCTTGCCACTAAATTTGTGATACCTAACCTCAATGAAAGAATATGGGTAAACTGAAGGGAATAACAAAATTCTGAGATAAAAGTGTACACCTTATTAAATAAAGAGACTCCAAATGCACCTATTGGATACACCACAAAATTTTGAAGATATTTTATTGGTTAAACTGTATAACTAGCTTGATTTGTTTAATATCAAATTAGTATATTAATATTTTATCTTTGTTACAGATTGATTTAATAATGACTCTTACTTTTCTATAAAACGGAAGAAATTCACAGCAAACATGTCTCCAATCAGTAAGTTTTAATGTACAGCATTGTTCTTGTGTTGAAGTATATGTAATTCTTACTTTTTTTCTTTTTTTTTAGGTTTTATCGGTTTAGCTACTTTTTTGATTTTTACAACTGAAACTCATTCAACTGCATCTGACTGGACTTCCACTTGTCTAAAATGCAAGTGCAAGTGGGTGTCAGGAAAGAAAACAGCAGACTGCTCTTACTCACATCACACTGCTGTACCTAGCCTAAGTTCTGAAGTGCAACATTTGGATCTAAACGGGAACAAAATCCATAGCTTATCAAGTGACTCTTTCAAATCCGTCGGTTTGGTACATTTGCACAAGTTATACTTAAAAAACTGTGGAATTCAAGAACTTCACAAAGATGCATTCAAAGGCCTGCAGATATTGATTGAACTAGACTTGTCAGAAAACAAAATTCATATCCTTCACCCAGGTACATTCCAGGGTAATTATAGACTAAGAATCATCTACATGAGTAGAAATCCGATCCAAAGGCTAGAAGATGGTCTATTTACAAACCTCACATTTCTTCAGACAGTGGACATGTCTCAATGTCTAATCTCACACATTAGCTCTAAGACATTTGTAAATGTGTCTAATTTGCATACATTTATATTAAATGGAAACCGTTTATCACATATGAAACTTTCAGTTGTTGATAAGCTATATAAATTAAGAAGTTTAGAGCTGAAAAACAATCCTTGGAGATGTGATTGCCATTTGAAAGCATTTCGAGACTGGGTAGTGGATCATAAATTGTACTCACAACCTACATTTTGCCATGAACCTCAAAGCCTCGAAAATAAAATTTGGACTGACATAGAATCAGAAGCATTTGCGTGCAAGCCACAAATTTTGTATCCCAATGTAGGGACTACTGTTGTAGCGGACGGCGATGAAGTTTCTTTAAGTTGTCGAGTAACAGGAAATCCAACACCCGAAGTACACTGGGTTTACAATGCTCGAATAATAACAAACAACACAAGAACAAAATACGGTGATTTGAAATACCTGGTAAGATCAAGTGGAGAAATAAATAGATGGGTAAATGTCACTGTGACCAGAGTCAGACCTCAAGACAGAGGAGAATTTACATGTGTCGCTAAAAGCTTTGGTGGTGTGGATGAAAGAAACATTACTTTAATTGTTAAATCTTCAAATGGAGGCTATATTGGATCTGCAGGCATAGCAAATTCTTGGCCAATTGTAATTGGTCTAACAACAGGGCTGACGGCCGTTTTCCTTATCGTAATCATACTGTGTTGTTGCTGTTGTCGTAAAAGAAAGAACTTACTACCAGGAAAAAAATCTCCCGTCAATGGTGTATCACCTAATGGTGACATAACCCACCATATTGGTGCTGCTGAGCAAGAAAAGAGTTTATTGGCTGTGAACCCTGTTCAGAAGCCTCCCAGGCGATATGAAGTTCAAATATCACCTACTGCTGGCACTGAAATGTCAGAATTAAACAGGAAGCTTCTAGATGATGGATCTGTTATAGGTGAGTTCATTTGATAAAACAGTAATCCAACCAATTTTACCTCACCAATATCTCTCTTATTGATTATATAAAATTATTGCTCAAACATAAATTAACATGTTGACTGCAACACTATTGATACCCTGAAATTGATTGAATGGATTAAAATAAACATAAGTTAGATTTTTTATTAAACTATTCCAATCAATTTTTTTAAAATTTTTTTTGTAGCAAACATTTCGGGGATCAGCTGCTGCCAGCTCCTTTGTCAAACCTTATTACAATAATAAAATAAATAAAGTTAAAAAGTGAAAATTACTGACAAACTTACGTGTATTTATTTTGTTATTGCAATAAGGTCTGATGAGGTAGCTAGCAGCTGAACCCCGAAATGCATAGACAGGAATAAAAAATCAATTGGTTGGAGTAGTTCAATAAATCTAAACTATATTCAATAATACTACTTAGGTAAATGTGGAGCTGGAGAATAAAATAGCAATAGCCAGGGCTATGAGATAAGAAGGATGCCATCACATCATCACAACTGCAGTCAGCATGATAAATTAAGCAAACATAAAGCACCTACATGCAATTAAATTATATTTTTCTCCATATTACCTGCAGAAAGTCATTACCGATCATTTTGGTCTGGGTTCTCAGAGAGGGTACGAAGGCCAACATGATTGGTAATGACAAAATTATCAAGTATATTGGTTCTAACAGTTTCATGTTTTTCAGCTCATAGTATACTTGGAGATGAAGATCGTTCCAGTGAGAGTATTGAAACAACACCACAAAGGCTAAGGGATAAATTAGAATCAGAAACATATCCTCCAGATCTCATCGCTTTTCAAGGACGAGGTCATACTGCATCCCCAGCAGGTAGTTCTACATCGACTGCTCTTGATCCAGCTAGTAGACACACGTTGCATTTAGGTCACCAATCACCTCTACATAGTCCCATTTACAATGGTTTTGGAATGTTACCATATTCAAGATCACAGTCTCCATTTTCTCCAGCTGCACCTATTATATTGCCTTGCCAAGGGTATGTCACCATACCAAGAAGACCTAGAATTCCAAGTTGGTCCTCAGCTCCAACACCATCACTTCTTGAAGATCCATTATCCCCAATAAAAGCTGAACCTGTTTATGACAATTTAGGACCGAGAACGACAGTAGATGGTAGTTCAATTTTATCTCTTAACAAAGCCGGTACTGATACAAACCCTAGAAGGAAAACTCCTTCAATTCCAAGCAGTTTTTCACCATATGAAGAGAAAGAAGGTGGAATTTTAAGGCCATTGCCTTCCCCACTCTCACCCGACGATAAGAGATATTGGCGTAACAGAAGTGGTGACGGCATTTTAAAAAGGGTTGGATCTGCTGACATGCCGATTGAAACCATTTCCAAAGCAAAAGTTGCTCCCAAACCTCCTCCAAAACCAAAAAGCAATGTTCCTCTCTACGAAGATGAGGGTGAAGACGGCACTGAAGTCTGAGAACTACTGAACTGTATAATGTGTTTTTACACATTACTAATGGCGTTCAGTCATGTGTCCATTTTATGGGGTGTAATGCATTTGCCTAATGTGAACTTGCCAAATACTATTTTGAGAAAAGGAAATAAATATATTTTATTTACAAATGACAATGATAACATTGTGACTGTGTGTATAAAATAATAGTTGTGTTGTATCCTCATGTTTACCATTTGTGTACATAGTTGTTTACAGGGTACTGTATTTGTAAAATAGGTATTTACAGCCCTGTCACAAAGTGATATTTTTATTTTTGACTGATGTAAGTGCATAATATATTACTAAATTTATATGTTTATATTTGCTATATGTAATATAATGAAAAAACATTTTTATCAGTGTATTATAGATTATAATTTCATTTTATACATCCACAGGGTATATTGTAATGGAGTGATCAATTTTAGAGATTGGTGTTTCATTAAGACCATTCATTATTCAAAGAGCCAAAATCGCTTTGAATAAATAATAAAATCATTTTCATAACTTTGGATAGTAAATTGAATAAATGTAAAAAAATACCATTGATATAAAAAAGATTGTTTAAAGCTAATCTGAAAAATTAAAATAAATCTGGCCTGCGTGTTTTTTAAATTTTCATTTACTGAATCGTAAAGATGACCATACTCATGCAATTCTTATAGATCCAACAATTTGTTCTAACATTAACTATAATTAATAATTCATTTAATATTATAATATTGTTTAAAGCACTCATTTGGAAAATATTGTTTTTCGATTTATTTTACAGGATTGGAATTTTTGTTTATCAAACTTAAAAAAATTAATAGATTTTAAAGTTACACTCCTAAATTAATTATTCCTTTATACTTTATATTCTTTGTATGTATAAATAAATGTTACAATGTTTTATATATACGATTTCATAAGTGAAAGAAAGTGGTGTGTGGTAAATGTTTGGTCATAAATAAAAAATCAAATGTTAAGGTAATTCTAATTTGTTACTTGTTATGTAATAGAATAGTATTAAAAATGTGTTTTTACATAAAATCCCAATTGATACATTTCTTTATTATAATCCCACGTTTTAACACAGAAGACCAATAAAATTGTCGAGTGTTTTAGTAAGAACTTTTCTTGGTAACAATTGCCTGGGTATAATTATTAAGATTTAGGAACATAAACCTTATGACCATTAAAAACTCAAGAAATCATGAGCTATTTAATCTATGTCTTCCCTATCTATCTACATTGAATATTTAACTTTCATTGCCCGTTTTGCTTCTTTTGTTTTTCTTCCAAACATAAGATGCACACACTGCTAGAGTTTATGCTATTTTACCAACTATGCACAAAATTCCAAATTTTTATATAAATAGATAAATTGTATTGGGTACATCGATGCATTATAAGATTGCTGTAAATTGTATTGTACCCAAATTATAATATATACCCTCTGTGCCTTATTTTAGAAATTTATAATAAATTATATTATGTAAATATTATATAAATAACCATAACATTTTTTTTTATGTGTAAGATTATATTATATTTTTCGCTATTGCTTTATTGTTTATATTTTATTAAAGGGACCACTGAGTTTTAATTTTTTATTTTCAATTAATTTATCATCTTTCATGACTTAAAACTCATAATTTTTTATTTGATATATTTATTCCAGTTTTTACAGTGGGAATCCTGCTACAGTATGTATTCTAAAGTACAATAAATTAAAACCATTGATTATATTCTTATAATCAAATCATTACTAATGTGATCCAGGTTGTAATGTGGCATTTTTTTTAAATTATAACTGTATTCTGTTAATAACAATAACTCTGAAAATGAACTATTTTTGTGATTTGATAAACTTGTCTAATGATGTTATTTTAATTTGGGCTTCCAATGCAAGTATTTTCCATAACCCCTAAAATGTCCTTATCCTATGGTATTTCAGACATGTGTGTGTGTTTGTTTATATGTGTATATATATATATACACAAACACATGCAAGCATATATATTTCAAATGTATATTATATTAGATTGATATAACAATTATATATTGTGTATGCATATAAATAAAAAATGTATTGATATTAAAATATTGCTTGTTAATATTACTTAAAGTTTACAACATGCAATTTTTATGTGTGAATACACATAACAAAACCACACGCTTACAGCTTGTTGGCGGTATCAATTTAGTGCTATGCTGTAGAATAGTAACTATGTATTTCTAAGCTTTTGAGACTGAAGATATATGTAGTTATAAGTTTCCTTTAGTTTATCAAAGGATTATGGCTAAATTTATTAAAATTGTTTTATGAAGTTATAATGTTATGAAATTGTTAGTTTCCTGTATTCTAAGAATAATACAAAATCTTTAATTTATTTTTTAAAAAATCCATGAGGTTCCTGTAAAATAATTTAGCATGATCCTCTGATAAAAAATAAAATAAAACAACTATATTTGGATTATTATAACAATTATGTTATGTAAGATATAAACAACATTCATTTTTTTAGAAGCACTATTAACAATAATGACAAAAACAGGAACTTTAATCATTTTAATTAAATGTTAATTATTATTATTACATATAATATATTATATACACTAATATATTATATATATTATACCACAGTTCAGTCAGTATACATGTAAATAATAGATTAAATGTGTATAAAATACATGTGCTGTTTAAGCTCTAAAATAAAATAAGTTTAATTAAAGTTGATTTCTTTATTCCTTTTCCTATAATAAATTATGCTTGTCTGGGTTAACTGAGTCAAGAACATATCTTACTTATTATATTATTAATAATATAATAAGTATATTATACTACTTACTTACTATACTTATACTACTTACTACTTACTTATTATATTATATTATTATTAATTATTTATATCTTACTTTGTTTTATTTTAAAGTTCCACTATATTTTTTTACCCTATTTTCTTTCTCACTTTTAAATACACTCATTAAAAAATAAAATCTCTGCACATCTGCTGGTTTGCCCAAAATATGAGTTCCGAATTTCTTATTTTAAGTCATTAGGTAAAAACACATTATTTGTAAAGCTTAATATATATTTTAAAAGCTTTTGAATGTTAAAAAATTTTGAATAAGCTAATCAAGAGACAAAAAAAGTTTTCAAACACCTAGACAAACTGTTTTTTTTCCAGAGTTTACATCTACAGCCTGATTCTTTGTTTACTTTGCAATATTATCTTAGTAGCAAGCATGTTTTGCTTAGTTAGTACTATATTAGCCTTCAATTTGGAAATACCATGGTCCACTTGGGAAGTCAGTGTTGATTGTATAACGGAAGAAAATCATTTTGTGACACCACGCGTGCCGTTCTCAAAGAAATGACCACCACCCATCAAAAGTACCCCCACCCCAGTTGCAGGCCTCTATCAGGATTATATTATTTCAGTACAAATACGCTTCAAACAGTATGAAATACTATTAAAATACAAGGCAAAGACATGTATGAACACATTCCCAGGAAGAAGCCCTATATAAGCAAGAAGAACAGGGGAAAAACTGCCTGCAGTTTGCTAAAGAGTATTTAAGTAAGCCTGATGTATTTTGGGAGACTGTTATTTTCATTGACAAGGGCAAATTTAATGTCTTATGTTCAGATGAACGAAATAAAGTGTGGTGTAAGCCAGGGGAACACTTGAAATTAAATAATACACCACTCACAGTTAACCATGGGGACTGAGGGGTGCTTGTTTGGGGCTGCATGAGCTATAGAGGAGTTGGCAATTTACACATAATCGACGGAATCATGGACCAACATATCTACATTGTTCTAAAACAGAATTTAAAGGAAAGCGCTATTAAATTGGGTTAAAAGGACTTTCCATTTTCAACAAGATGACCCCAAACACAGGGCTCAGAAAACTCAAGAATGGCTCCTATTTAATGCACCTTGACAGCTCTGGACACGACCTCAATCGCTTGATTTAAACTCTATTGAGCACTTGCTGTAAAGCAGCTAAACAAAAGAAGATAGAAAACAAAAACCATCTAAAAGAAGAGATTTTACAGGAGTGGGCTAATACATCCCTGAACGTGACAAAAAAACTAGTTCTATCAATGAAAAAACATTTAGAGCAGCGATAATAAAAAGTAGGGGGGGTGTCAGTAAAGAAAAAAATGAAAAATAATGAGTTCAGTGACTTATATTGCTTGAAACGTATGACTCTATATGTAAATTGTTGTTTAATTATGTATTTTATATTATTATATATTATATGGCTTTTGTTATTGAAAGTCATAGTTGCAAGACATTGTGTTGTTACTCAATTTAGCCTACATTTTTTTAATTTAAAAGGTTTGCTTTTATTTCACTGAAGGTGTTTGGAGACGTTTTTACTGAGTGTATATATGAAAATTTTTAGTTCAAGAATAATGACAAGTTGCAATGAACTGTACTAAATGCAATAATTTATATAAATTCTCCTAGTTTTGTTTATATTAAGTTACAAAATACAAAATAGTGAATAAGCCTAGAATGCACAGACTACTTTAATATTGAACATTCGTTGTAGATGCAAAGAATAGAAGAAGGGTTAAAGAAGGTTAAATTAATTTTATGGTAAGTAAAAGTTACTTTCCAAACCAGGGTATTTTATTTATTTCTTTTTAAGAAGGTTTACAACAGTAGAGGTCATAACACCCGGAATTTTGGTTAAACCAATTTTTAAGTAGCTGGAACCCTTTAGCAGGCATATAAACAATATTCATTGTTAAAATATAAATAAATATATAAATTATATTAGAACTACTTAGAGCCAGAGGGCTTGAGTTAAGAAAATGGTGTTTAAATTACACTCCTCTCCCCGAAAACTTAGTCGGTTCATGCAATAAACCATTTTCAGCTCATGAAACATCAAAGAGGAAACAAGCAGTGCAAAAGATAACCCTAGATCTGAATTGGTTCCCTTAGAAGATTCTCTTTGCTTCCAAATAAATTTAAGACACAAGGTACCTGACATAAAATGCTACGTTTGTCAGGAATAGCAAAGATATTTGATTCTGCAGGATTAATTGGGGTAGTAGTAATTGCAAAACAATTTATGCAAAGGTTATGGTTGTTTGAATTGAGTTGGAATGAAATCATACTTCAGATTTTTGCGGTTATTCTCAAGAAGCATACTGTGCTGCTTTTTGTCCTCACAACAGGCAAGCCTATTATGAAGGAATTTATTTACTAAACTAACATGTGTCACATAAAGTATAATGTGTATAATGTACAAACAGAATAGAGTTATTTAAATTAGGAATCAAAACATACCCAAATTTGGAGTAAATGGTGAAAATATTAGTATGTTAAAACTAAAATTATCTTAGTAACAAAAATAATGTGAATATTTACAAAATTATTAATAATCAAAATTAGAAAATGAAGAACCGATCGACGTACATTACCAGTCACCAACTGCGAAATACATTACAAAGATTCTATAAGTGGCTCTGAATCATTGGCTTTGAAAAAAGCTATAATTAAAGAATACACATCCCTGATTCGAAACAAGACATGTACTATATGTGGCAGACCCAAAGATCCACAAGTGATCGACTGTCAAATGGTATACTAAGAAATAAAAGTTCGCCGGATGGAAAAACTAATGTGAAAAATGCTAGATTAGTCGCGAAAGGGTACGATCATCGCCCCGGCATAGATTTTGACGAGACCTTCGCACCAGTCATCCGTTTAAGTACTGTCAGAACGTTGGCAGTATTGACGACCTATGGTCAGACACATCTGTGGTAGATTGTTGGAGGCTACTGCAAAGTCTGATGCAACAATTTTGGCGGGGGTTGAGAGATTACTTGAACAGTGCAGAACCAATCCAAATGGTGCCTCATTTGTTGAAAGAAGCATTGGTGTTGGTGAAGTTGACAACCATCCACCCTTAAAATGGCATTTTGCAAGGATTGTGGAACTTCAGCCTGGTATAGATGGAAGACTTCGAGTAATAAAGGATGTACTTGGTAAAATAAACAGTGTTCATTTCAAACAAGAGGAAATCCTAATTTTCATATACTATGGACTTTACAGTGATGAGTCGCTGTGTCAACAGTCCAACCATTGAAGCCACTGACAATCAGTAAGATTAAAGGTAAACAAGCCATCTATTGGTCATGCTATTAATTTCATGGTTTTTGTTATAATTATAAAAGTAAGTAGTAAACACCTTTCAAATATTAAATAATATTTATTGTAATATATTGATATACTTAAATTTAAATATGAAACAAATTTAACAAAATAAATTAATATAAAAGTGTACAATTTTTTATAAGCAAATTTTATCTCATTACCATGAGATGAGAGTTTTTAACATTGTCAAATTTGTTAGAAGTGCTCATGTTGGTGGTATTCCACAGTAGACAAATTTGACCATAGGAAAATTACCTATTTCTCTTAAAATCGATGCTGGGATGAACTGCTTCAAAAAGTACAATGATGCTACAACAAACGTGAGTATAAAACCGAACAATTTTAGAAGGCAAGTAATCCCACAGTTCCTGAAATGAACCAGGCTTTGGTAAATTAATTATGCAGCATACAATGAAAAGGAGTAAGTGTAATACTCTAGGTTTCATTATTAATTTATGGTAACCATTAAAAAAATATACTAAGTTCAAAAAAAATTATTGATAATTTATACTTTTTATTAAATACTGTCATTAAATCAGTCTGGGTGGAAGTTGATGTACCATCCGAACTTCTTCCAATCTTATGACTTCTACAACAAAAATTCATAAATAACTGTTAATAATGCTAAGTTTAGGAATGTTTTCATTACCTGTTTGTTTTGATTTGGCATTTTCCTTCATCGTCCTGTTAAATAAATTGGAAACAAAAATTTTTAATAAAATATAACACTAAGTTTTATTAAGTATTTACCAATTTTAAATGCAAACAGTTACATATTAAAGTTTTTGTAAAGTTAATGGTACATACAAATTTTTTAATCTGTGAATAGTAACCATTTAAAAAATATACTTACATAAGATACTTCCAACAATTCTTGCTTCAAATTTACTCCATACATACCCCCCTGAAATATTCTTTATTAAACAAACTTTTTCTTTTTTTAATACATTTAATTATGATAATAGACTCCATGCTACCATTTGTAAATCATGCACATGTTTCATGTTATTAATAACTGAGCTAAGCTCTTTAACTTTTTCCTTTAGTGTTTTGATTTCCACGTTAGACTTATCTTCTACAAACAAGGCTTGTTCTAACAATTCGTGTTCTTCCTGGGATCGCAAAAACAGTGTTTCTAAATTATCAAGTCGGGCCACTAAATTTTCATTTATTTTTGTCTGGGCATTTAGTTGTTTGGTTTTGTTTGCCATAGCAAGAGATAATTCCTCATTCTGAAAAAGGACATCAAATCTTTCATAATTAAAAATGACAGAAAGCTGTTAAGGATTTAAAAATTAAAAAGTTAACAAGCCTGTTTGACCAGTTCCTTCGATTCTTCGTACAGAAGTTGACGTTCATATTTAAACTGCCTTTTTTCTTCATTGAATTTTTCCTTTAGATTTTTCAGTGCTTCATTTAGTTGAAAATTTTGTTGATAATGTTCTTGAACTTCTTCTAGAGAACTTAAGAATAAAAACATATTCAAATTGCATCTAATGAATAATAACAAACAATGTTTTTTTAAATTTAATTATTACTTACTGTTTCAATCTCTCAGATAATTCACAATTTTTCTTTTCAGAAATTTTACACTGCCTTTCAAGTTGCTGAATTTGTGATTCATATTCAGTGACATATGATTCACTTCTTGTTAAACAATCCCCAAGCCTGAAGCCCATTGAAGAGTAAATTAAAATTTGAAACATGGTAAAGTATGAAAGATTGTAGTCTGATCAGCTTTGATAATCCAGGTTACCTATTCATGCTGGTTTGTCTTTGTTTTGGCATTTCACCATATTCATTACTGTTACAAGTTTTTAAAATGCGAAGAGAAGAAAGGAATGTAGACAAAGAAACCAGTGAAGAGTGCAAACATGGCAAAATATGTTGGACAGGCATGTCATTTAGCCATTGAGAATAGGCAGTCCAGGAAGATCAGGGACTGTGGTAAAATATTAATTTAAATTAAATTAGGGGAAATTAAGAAAAAATCACATTGGGTTGTAAAATAAGGCTGTAGGGTTTTTAATGGTAAATTTAATGGACTTAAGTGAATTAAAAAGTTTACCTCATTAAGCCTGGAAAAGTAAAATCTGAAGGGGCAATGTCAAACCAATTTGGTACGTAGGGTCCCAGTCAAGTTCCAACTATTTTTGGCACGTCTGCAAAAGACATGGGGGACCAGTGTTATCTGGGTGGAAAATAATACCCCTTTAATTCTCTTTTTAATTTTTGGTCAATTGCTGACTTTAATCACTCCAATTGTGAGCCATATAAAGTACAATTAATGATTTGATTTGGGCAGAGGAAGCTCATAAGCCTTCAAATCTCACCAAATGGACAAAACCACCTTGGGATGTGATCCGATTTTCCCCAGGATTTTCCTCTCTGAGTATTGCTGTCAAGGACCAATTTTTCATCCCCAGTTATCGAAAAAAAAAAAAAAAAGTAAATTTATGAAATTAATAAAAAAATTGTGTGTGAAGGTGAAGCATGAGAGAAAGGGAAATGGTATGGAGGTCAGAGGTGAGGCATCATCTGGGGTTCGTAAATTAAAAATTATTGAGAGGATTGTGGACCAATATGAGACATGACATTTTTAGAAAAAAATTAAGCCCAGTGCCACAGAAATTTGGACTTCTTGTGAATTTTGTTTCCCAACAAGATAATAATATATCTGAAACATAGTGCTAAGAAAACGAGTAGTTATTGTACAAACGCTACCTGCCAACTGAAAACACCGCCACAATCACTCGGATCTTAATCCTACTCTCTGGGAAGAAATGAAGAGAAGTCGTGGCATATAAAATAAACATCACCTGACTGAAGCTGTCAAAGAAGAATGAGAAAATATTGGTTCTGACTTAACCAAAAAATTAGTATTTTTGCTGAAAAATCGACTTCATGAAGCTTAAATGTAAGGGTGTCCCTTCACATATTAATTAATTTTGTTGCAAGTTTTGTATTGTATACAACTTTTTTGTTACAGAAATGATGAATGATGGGGTGAGGGCGGTGTTCAATCCTTTTTAAAAAGGATTTTTTGTTACATGTTTTCATTAATTATAAGTGTTATGTTATTACTTTGGTTTTAAGAACAATTAGAAAAAAGCTTTTGCATGCAAATTAGATAAAAATTTATTGTTTAACATTATATAAAAATTATTTTCCGAACACTTTTTTTTAATCATTAATTTAAACATCACATTCAATATGTACTGAAACTGTATGCAAACTTTTCTTACTAACTGTTAGTAAAAGAAAAAAAGAAAATATTACAACTTTAATTGACATGTAGCAAATATTTTGAGAGACAACAATAATATCTACAAATAAATGATAATGAAATTCCAAAATCTATCTGTCCTAAATATACTTCGAGAAATAGAAAGGTCAGAAGGATCACAAATGGTATAATGTTTGTTAACATGCAATCTTCTCAATAGCAACTGTCAATTGTCAATTTACAACAAACTACAACACACAAAATGTATTAATTTTTTAAATTCACTATATCAATTGGATAACACAAACACACTTGTGATGAAGGGCTCGAGCGAGCATGAGCTGTGGGTGCTCTGAGCTCCTCTACTTTAGGCCCATCAAGCCTTTGGATTGGGTGAGTCAGGTTGCTCTGCCTGACAGGTAAGCACCCACCACTTTACAATAACTCTGTAGAGGGACGTTTAGGAAAAGCACTATAATTCAGGTACAATCTTCAAGTCCCTTTATAATTTAATTATGATTTAAATAAGGCTACATATCATTCCATCCCTGACTATGCATGAACCCCCTAATTCTTACTTATAAACTAATACACAAATCAATTCAATGAAACTCTATCGCGCTTGTAACTAACAATTCTTGATCCCTGTTTATAATCTAAATAAACATACTAACTTAGTTCTTTATTGTCCCTATTCCTACTCATAATTTACACAACTTAATTGTTAAACTATTTCGATCCCTACTTATAAATTAAATAAATACACCAAAGCTTTCTAATAAATCTCTATCCCTATCTCCTGGTTGACTCCTACTGCCTGCGACAGCCCGATCATGGCAACTCTACTCCGATGGATTACTCTGACTGCCTCCTCTCTACACCAGCTTCTTGACTGTTTCCTAGTTCTTTTGGGATTGTATTTAAGCCAATCAGTTGGGTTGGAGGTGGGGAACCCGTCAAGCTTAACAAATACTGTTAGGCTTCTTTGTGACCCGATTGCCCGTTTTTCTTCCCCAGTTTGTAGAGCTTTTCCAGGTGAATCCAGGCATTAGATAATCCTAGGGGTTGAGCAATAAGGCCACTTGTCAGCACAACAGTAAATATTATCATGGCGATTGCCCAGGAATGACTCATATTTCTCAGTCAACACCCAGGTGTTATTATTTTGCCAGCTTTGTCTAGCTGTGTCTGGTGTTTTCGTGAAAGACTAGGTCGGCTCCAAGGATTCGAGGGCACTTCCGATGGCCCACTCTTACACAATACACTTTTCCAACAATTAGCCAAAATATTCTTACTTCCAATCGTAATGTTTACAATGTATTTTAACTCCTAATAAAATCTGTTTAAGATTCCTTTTTGGATTATTAAATTCAAATTCAATATTAAATTCAACACGATTGTTATGTCGAGCTAATTATAAAAGTTTTCAGTACTCTATGAATATAATAATTAAAATTTCTTACACTCTCCACAAGTTAGATTTATTTTCCAAAGATGACAAAGAATTGTAAGGAATGCTTGACACATTTTGTTTTTCTGTTAACAGAACGAAATTAATACGAAATTGAAATATGCCTTTTATTGCATCATATATTTTAAATAACTATTGATGTTATTAATAATACTAACTGTTATTATTATTATTTAATAAATAACATACCATCATTTCCTGTGATACTGGTGACTAGTTGATGTGTAACCGTATGAGCCTGAAACAGAGAAAAGCATCAAAATCCAATTTTAACATTTATTTATAAAGTCAATTTCGCCGTGAAAAATGGATATTTCAGATTTGATGTAGGCGAATTCTGGAAGTTGTGAGTTCAGATGTAGCAGGTCCGTTTAACCCTTAACTTATGATAACTACAAATATTATGCAACTTTTATAGATCATTATTCACATTCTACATATGTTTACCTACTAAAAAGAAAATAAGAAGTATATGATAAATTTAGGGAATATCATGCAGAAGTCTCCGCACGTTTTCATTTTAAAAAAAATCATATTTTCGTTGTGATAAGGGAGGAGAATATGTCTCAAACTCATTTATTCAGTACTGTAAGGAACATGGCATGGTATCACATATGACCAGATGCATTACAATTCACTCAGATTTAAATAAGGAATTATCGGGAGAAGCCGTACGAACGTCACTATATACAATTAACAGACTTATTATAAAAGCAAATGGGAAGATACCAGGTGAAGTTTGGTTCAATGGGCCAGTCAACCTAGAAAAAATGAGAGTATTTGGAAGTCGGGCTTTTGCACATATACCCAAGGAGGATCAAGACAGAAAATTATTAGAAAGGTGTAAACAGCTTATAGTTATTGATTATGGGATCCTGATGAGCGCAAAGTAATTACTGCTTGTTTTGTAAAATTTGATGAATCACAAAATCGACCTATCATTAATACTGAGGAAGTTAAAGTAATAGTTTCTGCAAAAGAGGACCTTTACCCTATTATTATTTGGACATATATATATTTTTGGAATGGATACCAGGGACTGGAGGAGTTACCTCCTGAGCACTGCAGCTGAGCTGTACAGCTTATTGTACTTTATCCCTGGCTCCATTTTTTTTTTTTTGGGGGGGGGGCTCATAACACAAATGTGAACTTGAGACCCCGTTGTGCCGGTGTTCTTCCATCAAAGAAACTCATTTTTGAAGGGGGTTGGGACCAAATTCAGGGTCGCTGAGATCCAATCCCACCCCTTCCATTGATGAGTGCCGTGTCAATTTCTTTCAATTGCGGCCACCGGTCCCCTTAGGCTTCAGAAAAGTCCAGAGGCGATGGTGGGGATCGAACCCACGACCGCGGGCTCTACTAGCCGAGAGTCTAGCGCCTTAACCACTCGGCTACCGCGGCCCCCCTTTACTTAAAAATAAAACAAACATTTTTTTGTCTTCTTCTTTTCTTTTTGTTTCCATTGCAATATAAAATGAATGGGGAGGAAAGTTGAAACTACCTGCGAGCTGGTACGGACTGATCAACCCAAAAAGTAAAGTTTTTCAAATCTTATTTTTCCGATCCATACTTCGACACCTATGAAAATGAAGTACTGTTTAATATTGAGGTTAAATATAACAAAAGTGAACAATTTTGGAGAGTTTTACTGTAATTTTGATCAGTACTGGCAAGCTTTCTTTCTTGTACTCCAGGATACCCACTTCCCCAAAATTAACAAGTTTAGTCACTTGTATTACTATGTATATTGACTCAGAAGAGGACTCATTAATGATGTTAAAAAACAAAATTCCATTCATACATATTGTTATATTGTATACATTCAGTATAAGTTCAACAACTGCAGTCCAAGTGGTAGAATTGTGTAGTAAACAGCAAAAAGATTTAATCATTATTCAAAAAACTATTTAACTAGTTTTATTTATTCCCCCCTTTTTTATTATGTACAAACACCCAGTTTCCTTCAGAAATAGGAAATAGAGAATAGGGGGCCCTAAGGGTCACTGCCAGGTTTGAACACACTTCTTATATCAGACAGCATCTCATTTTGCTCCCTATGTGGAGCCATGCTGGACATATACATGGACTTCAGCCCAAAATGAAATGTGTGCGTCATTAATCGGGTGAGGATGACCCTTCTTCTTCTTCCACAGATTCTGTGGGGTCAACCTACCAATCATGCTCCTGACAAGCAAGACCTTCTCGATTGACCCAGTCCACTGCCACTGTTCCCTTACCATATTCTTTATTGTATGTTTAGCATCTGTGGATCAGATCAGAAAAGTGAAGTCTGGAGTGTGAGCCGCAACTCGCTGCCATGCTCGAGCACAATTCTCATATCGGGTGGCATCCCCTCACTCCCTATATGGAGCCAAAGAATGACACTGCAGGTGCTATAATACACTTGCATACACTTCTGCATTGTGAAATGTATGTACAAATTTAAAAAACAAAACAACATAAATAAAATAAAATAAAATGCAAAAATAAACATCTAATTACATTAATATTATAATTATGTTTTACTTTAAATTAAGTATTAAATTGCCATGTAAAAAAGATGACCAAGGTGGCTGAGTGATTAAGGTGTCCGAATCATATTTGCCACACCGTTCTCAGTTCAAATCCCGGCATAGCCTGTCAGGAACCGTGATGTCACCTGAACCTATCATTCTTGTAATTGAGTAGTGTTTGATTTAGAATAAAGAGTTGATTACAAAAGTCATTTTCTTGATCTTCCTTTGTAATAAATTATTAGCAATTAACTTACACCCATGACTTTTTAATTGAACTTAATTTGCAACAAGTACAGTAAAGTAGTTTGTCCCCTCATCTGCGACACCCAAAGGTTGGTTGGATGTTAAGCCCTTCTGTATGACAACTTTATTACTTAATTTATAGAATTTAAGAACAATTTTTTAATAATGACAATGATTGCTTGAAATATATTTATAAATTACTAACCATGCCATTTGATGAGTATATGAATTCTGATAATTGCTTGCAAAAATCTTCCTTTGACATTTTTTCATTTTTTCCCAACGGATCAATGGAATCCATAATCAACTTTTTTACCTCCCTTAAAAATGAATGGATTATAAATAATTAAATAAATATTTTATCTGATAAAAAATGTAATTGAACATTACCTGAACTCTGAAGTGTCATTCTTAAATGGAATTAACCGTTCAATTAATATGTCAGGACTTGCCAGATTATTTTCATCCTTTACATCGTAAAAAGATTCCTCAATTTCTAAATAAATTTCATCTAATTAATTCAAACATTTCATACACATTTGCACATGCACACAGACTCGCAATCTGTATGCGCTTAATCTTCTATACTTGTTGATTCACAAAGTCACATTATCACAGACATGATGATTATATTCACCCAGAGAATAATTTAATTTTTAAATTAATTATCAATAAATTGAAATGTTATTGTCTTTATACCTGACTAACATATGCATGGTAATTAATCTAAGTACCAAGTTCATGAATTCGAAATTTTAAAAATGTGTGGTGATTAGTGACCGTTAATCGATAATTATTCAGAAATCGAGAGATGCGGTATGGTGTGATGTAGGTTTCAGAAAAACATTTTCTTTATCGTGCCAACGTTTCGATCTTTATTGAGATCATCTTCAGGGCCTGGGATTTACAAACACTGTTTACATTTAACAAGTACATTTAGGATGTGGAAAAGTGAATTTATACAATGCAAAATATATATATTTTTTATATATTCAATCAAAGTATTTCTACTCACTCAAAGTGTTTGTCTTCTGTGTAATTATGCCATTCTTGCGTGTCGTGTTGAGAGTGCCTGGGAAGATATATACACAGAAGACAAATACTTTGAGCCCTGAAGATGATCTCAATAAAGATCGAAACGTTGGCACGATAAAGAAAATGTTTTTCTGAAACCTAATCACACGAGACCCCATCTCACGATTTCTGAATAATTTAAAAAAATATTAATATTAATAGTTTACTTTTAATTGTATTATAAAGTGAAATAGTATACCTGAAATCAAACTAGTTTCCAAATTATCCATATTACAGGTGATGAGCTTTCAGAGTTCTGATGAACTAGCCTGATGATTTTCGTAAACAATTACTTATTTAGGATTAAAATGATAATGTAAGACCTAATCCTCCAGAAATATATTTAATACCGATCTGACAATTTGATAGGATACTGAAAATTTAAAACTGTTACACTTCAGGGAAAAGTAAATACATGCAATTCTTCCCAAAAGGTTGTGTATTATTTACTTGATGACTATTTCCTATTATGTATTGAGTCTCAGCTATTAATTCTTGTATCAATCAATCATATTATTTATTGCAATCAGTTTACACAATTGCAATTTAAACTCAAAATAATTATTATTAAATAAAAAATAATAATTAAAAAATGATCTGATTACTTATTAAATATTGTTAATATTATTTCCTTGTTCTTTCTTCCTTTTGTCTGGAATTTGTACAAGCGAGTTTATGTTCAAATTGAGGGACAATGGATACTTGTTGTTTCGCTAACGATGCTCTTTTACTACACACATTTATGAATATAAATACATTTTCACTAAACAGTGAAAAGATGTAACCCCAAACTTAGTATATATACAACATTAAGGTTACCTGCAATAAATAAATAAAATATCTACATACAGACTTACCCCAGTTTCCTCCAGAAATCGAAATAGGAGACCCAAAGACTCACTGCCATTCTTGAGGACACTTCTCATATCGGATGGCATTAGACAAAGAGTATATTTTTAAAACTTGTTACAGAACAGGAACCAAAATATATATTCAACAATCTTAGAAAATCTAACGTAGTTGATTTTTTTAGGCATGTGGGTGCCTAAAATTAGTTATTAATTTGTTTTCTTGAATTCTCTGAAGAACTGATGGTGATGATGATGATGGATATTAAGAAGCAAGGTCATCACTGCAGCCTTTGGACTTATTGTACCTCCCTAAATCTAGTTCAGTGCATCGACTTAATCCTTCTTCTCAGAAGTGGTCATTGACTGTTGTTGCTACAATTTCTCTCCCTGGTTTTTCTTAGGTTATGTAGGTCCATTGAGCCACATTTGTAGATGATATGGGTGGCTTATGTAGATGTTTTATCAGATCAGATCATTGACTGGTTAAAGTCCAGTACTATCACTCCTCTGAGTCTGACCCTCTCCAATTGTGCTGTGGGTTTGCCAGTCTTGGTGAGGGTTGTTTTAGCATAAGTTTAATGTGTTTAGTGCTCCAAAGTTTACCCACTTCTCCTTTTGTTTTATTTGGTTCCGATCTGTGAGGGTGGATTCTGTATTTGTTTTTGTTATCCCAAGTATAGGTTCGGGGCCTATGTATGATCTTGCAGTGGCCTCCTCTTTGTTATTCAACATCCCTTTGTGTCCTGGCAACCAAGAATCCAAGAAATCAGGTTGTTGTGTTTCCCTAGATTTTTGGAGATTTTGGATGCATTCACTGACTAATTCTGTTGTGATGTTTTTACATTCTAATGTTTTAATATTTGCTTGGTTATGCGAACATAAAAGGATTTTTTGCCAGGGTAACCTCTTTTAAGATTTTCTAGGTCACAAGCATTGATGGCTTATATTTCTGCTTGAAAGACCAAAGGGTACTTTCCTAATAAGTTTGATTGCTCATATTTTGGGCTTGTACAGAAAACGCCTGATCCGGTTCCTTTGTTTGTTCTGGAGCCATCTGTATACACATTCATTGTATCTGATGCTCTCCTGAGTTAATAATGCTATAATAATAGTCTCTATTAACAAATACAATATTTTACATTTCTTTCTTTATTCCATATGCTAGATAGACATAGCCATTGAGGCTGTTTGAGGGGTTGTCTTACAATAAAAAGCAAAACAATCATTTTCACAGGAATAAAGGAAAATAAAAATAATGATGAACTGCAAATAGAATAAAATTAAAATCAACTGCCAAAAAAGTAAATTTTCTACATATGTAGACAAATCTAAGTACACAAAACATTAATCTAAAATTACATTGAAGACATTTTAATAAAATAGCCATTAACAAATACTTATTTAGGTATATTAGAAGTTAAATTCAATTACTAAGTTTTATCTGAACTGCCAAGCATTCATACAGCATTCAACTACACAACCTAAGTTCCTTCCATGTAATATTCAATAAACTCCATAAATTTCAATATATGTTTATTAAAATAAAGTAACTGATATTAAGTTAGGATAGGGCACAAAGCAATAAAATGACAAACGTCTTCATCCTCCCTGCTCTCCTGAAATTTTCCTCCTCTTTATAGGATGTTGTAAAGAATATTTCCAGGATCATTTAGTCAGTCCCCATTTCTAAGAAAGGTGTCTGATCTTATTAATCATTGTTGTGTGTCTGAATTGTTTAGTTCTGATCCAATTTGATTGTTTTATATATTTCCAGTGGAGGTAGGTTTAGCAGAGTTTCTAGTGCACTTTTAGGAGTTGTTCTCATTGCCCCTGTGATACATAGGGTTGCTAATCTTTGTATGCTGCCTAGTGTTTGGGGAGCTAGTTTTTGTTGAGCTTTGGCCATCAGGTTAGTGATCCATAGGTTATTTTGAGTCTTATTACTGCCGTGTATAGCAGGTGGGCCATTTTCAGTTTTAATCCCCAAGATTTGCCTCGGGTTCTTTTTATTGTCATTAACAATATTTTACCTTTTGTTACGGTATGCTGCAGGTAAGGGTTCCAGGTTAATATTTTATCAGATTATTCCTAGGTATTTAACTTCACTTTTTAGCTGCAGCTTATAGAAACAAAGGCCTTGTATTTATATGTTTATTTTCTTGGTGAAAGCAATTAAAGTAGTTTGCTTTAAGTCCCCATTATAAACACCATTGTTCTAATGTTTATTGCTCTTTGGGTGAGCACTTCTAAAGTTGAATCAAATTTTCCTCTGACTAGTATGACAATGCCATCTGCATAGCCTTGGGTATAGATTCCGCTTTCATTTAGTTTGCATATAACGTCATCCACTCCCACATTCCACAACAGAGGCAAGATCCCTTTTGCCACCACTGCTTTTACCTTTTTGTGGAATGTGGAGGCCTGCACATTTATCCTTTTTAGCATTGCTTCTGTCCATGTGCAGCAGGTTTTGTCAGTTCTTTACTGTTTAAGTGATGTAACCATTGATTCAAAAGGATTATCAAATGCTCCTTCAATGTCCAAGAAGGTTCCTAATGCTGTTTCTTGGTTATTCAGTGAATCCTCTATTTGTATCGTGATTTGGTGTAGTGCTGATTCATAGGATTTCCATCCTGGTGGGCATGTTGCTATTTATGTAGGGGTTTTTCTTTTAGAGAGCTGCCCTTTATATGTTTTTCAACTGGCTTTTTGAGTGTTTTAAGTAGAAAGGAGTTAGACTGATCGGTCTATATGATTTTGCATCTTTGTAGTTTTCCATGTTACCTTAGGAATAAAAATTACTTTTATAGTTCCCCATATGCTTGGGATGTATCACATTGCCATGCACCTTCTGTATATTTTTACAAGTAGAGGGATTAGTGTTATTTTTCCTGGGTATATCCTGTCTGTTCCTGGAGATTTGAATGGGCTTGAATTTGAAGTTGTCAATGGCCCATTCAATTTTTTCATAGGTAATTCTGTTTCGGTTATTTGCCACTCTTCCCTTCTAGTGTTGTGACCTTTGACGGGTTAAGTATTGTTTCTTATGTTTTAGAATGTCAGATTGGTAATAATTTTTTGATTCCGCAAAGTGTATACTTATTAGCATTTGTAATGTTTCCTTTCCGGTTGTATGTGTTTTCGAACTGGTTTTTTAGAGTTACAATGGGGTTTATAGGGTCTTTGGCAAGGGTTTTGTGGATTCTCTTTGCTTCAGTGATGTTACAACTTCTTTGCCTTCTTCTTGTTGTTAGTTTCAACTTTTTGTTTTGCTCTTTTGATCTCCCTACTGTTTTATTTTAGGATTTTACTGCATTCTTTAGTATTCCCTGTTTGTCTTGCTCTCCTGAAGAACTGAAACTATGCATGGTTATCCCAATCTATAAAGAAAAAAGTGATAAACACAGTGCTTATAGTTATCGCCATGTAACACTAACCCCAATCATGTTCTAAGATAATTAGGCTTTTAAAACATGACTCACTGACTTTTTGGTATCAAGTTTGGCTCTTGGGGTTATAGGAAAAACATTAGGATAATGGAAGTGTTAATATAATTTGTAAAATTTGCACTTAGCTTTGGAAAATGATAAAACTGTCCAGATAATCACAAATGACTTAAGTAAGGCATTACATGAAGTGAAATTCTTTTAGGTAAGCTGATTGCTTATGATATGTGGGGTTTTGCTCACAATTTTTATAAAAAATACCTATTGAACAGATTTCAGTGTATTAAATAGAAGAATGGAATAACAAAATCATCCTTAGTTCATCATTGTGTACCCCAAGGACCACTGTGTGGTCACTACCACCGCACTGTAGCTTTTACCTGGCAAACTGTATCCGATTTGGCATGCACTTGGGGTGATTCGAGAAAATAGTGGCTCTGCCTACCTAGTCTGCACCGACTCCCTCAGCATGGTCAATGCGGTCCGTGACAGGTTTTTCATCGACCCTCTCGTAATGGTTTTGTTGGAGAGATACCACGAAATGGCATGTACACAAAATGGTGGTTATTGTCTGGGTACTTTGACACATAGGTCTGGAGGGGAACGAAAGGGCGGACGAGGCGGCTAAGGTCAGGATATCCCAATCTCCTTACTTAGCCACCGTGATCCGGTATTCTGATGCTAAGAATGCAATAAGAAACATTATTAAAAGAAAGTGGCAGCGTCAATGGGCTGGATCGACAGAGAAGCTGAGGGGCATCAAGAGCACTGTTGATGGGTGGCCCTTGGAGGATCTGACTCATAGAAGAAGGGTCATCCTCACCCAATTAAAATATGCCATGTGAGGTTGATGCATGGACACATGTGTCCCAGCATGCAGAGAAAGGTTGTTCGATGTGTTTCACCAAATTGAAGCGTGCAATTCCTTGGTTCCATACAAAGAGCATGCAGGAATGCCAACAGATTTGTGAATTGTGCTTGTGCGTATCAGCAATTATTTACGTCCCCTGTTCTGATTCTTGGAGGAAACCGGATTGTTCTATTGTATATAGTAATAATAGTTGTGTATACCTAGTTTGTGTTGAGAGTGAATGTATTTATTAGCATGAATGTGTGATTTGAGAGGATCGATGGTGGAATATCGAGTACCCCATCGAGCCTCAATTAGGTTAGTTGTATGGTATGTCTAAAGGTTGTGTTGAGAGTAAATATATTTATTAGCATGAATGTGTGATGTGAGAAGGTCGATGTTGGAATATCGAGGACCCTATCAATCCTCAATCAGGCTAGTTGTATAATATGTGTAAAGGGTGATGGAGGAATATCGAGTACTCCATCACCCTAATCAAATGAATGGTATGTAAATAGGAGTGAATGTATTTAAGAATGAATGTGAATCTGAATGGGTTCGAACCTGCATGCGTTGAGTGCTGAATTGACTTAGCTGTTAACAGTTTCAATTTAAGGTTTGCGAGGTTTTATATTATTTCATTTTTATTCAAAAACCAGTAATGACTGAGTAACATATACACAATATGTTGATTTAAAATGTAATATTGTAAGGTAATGAGAAAACAGACGATAGTAAAAAGTATTCCTTTGTCAAGAAACTTCTTCTAGATAACAAGTAGTGACTGAAGATTTCCATTTAATTTATGGAAGATAAATTTAACAGTTTGTCCACATATGCCTTGATGTGTCTTTTGCTGACAGGGAGTCAATTCTAATTCAGAGTTCTCAGGATGGGAAAGCATAGAGCAGGCTTTGGTAGTAGGTTGAATGGTTGGTGTAAACCTATTAGAAGGAGCAACAGAACAGTTCGCTGACAATGGGAATGTTGAAGTTGCTGAGAAGGTGAGAGACGTAGTAAGGCGCTTTTACGTTTTGTTCTAGGAGTTTTGTTTGCCAATATTGGATGTGTGTTATGCTGGATGGCTTGGCAGAACCTCAAAGTTCCACTCGTATGTGGAAGGTGGTCACAGTAATATCTTGTGTAAGTTTAGTTAAGTTTAAACAGATTTCATTCTTAAAAGTCATCTGCTAACACATTCACTGCTACACACAGAGGCTGCTACATATCTAAGATGTCATTTGTCTTTTTCTGTGCTCATAATTTTTTTATTTTTTATACTTCTATGTACATATTGTGACTATTTCCCCAATTTTTTTTTCAATTTAATTAAAAACCAACATGCGACACATTGTCAACATCCACCTAACCTAAATGTCTTTACCTTCTTTACGTGATGCTGATGTCGACGCATAGTTGGCAATAAGTTTTTTAATCATCAAACATGATTGCATAGCTAAAATGCATTTTATAATTTATTACTTTATTTTTCGCTATATTTTCTTTTTACTAGGGCAAAAATATACCTGAAATTGGGGTCGTGCCTTTCTGTTTGAACGGCGGTACATTTGCTTTCAACAGACGCAACACCTATCATCAATTAAGCCACCAGGCGAGAATCGCTTTTGGGCAAATGCCAAACGAATCACCGATTTTTGTTTATTGTCCCATTGTTGTCTAAATGTTTTTTTTCTGGAAAATTTATTTATGTAAAACATTTTTTTATTGTTATATGCTTATGGTGGTAATAAGTAAATAAAAAAACAAGTGCTTCTATTTGGGTAATATTAAGCATAAAAATATCTTGTAAAACTTTTCAAAAAAGAATAAAAATGCCTTATTTTAAAGAGTAAAGAGTATTTGAAATGTTAAAACAATAAGAGGCTCATTTACATTGATTCAAGCTTAAAAATATGTAAAACCTTTTAAGCATAAAAAATGATTTTTATTTATTTTTTCAACTTTTTAAACTAATTATTAGGAATATTTACATGCCTATGATTATGAATGCTATCTACATTAAACAAAAAAGTGACTTATTGATTAGTTGGAGGGAAATCTGGCTGAAAAATATCTATATGTTTTTGAAAACGAAGGTGGAGGTGAAAACACTTAACTTGAACCTTTCTCCATATTGGTGGCAAATAAATGAAGGGATTCTAATAGGTTAGAATGGTGTGGGGCCATTTGAAATGAAAAAGTCAACTACCTGTCGACTACTGCCAGGGGTGATTTTGTCAACACGTGTTCCATGGCCAAAGAGTAAGTGTTTTGTTGTCTATTACATCTTGTGTAGGATTACATATCAGTCTGCTGTCTAGGTATAGTGCTAAGTATCTTCATTGTGTAGAGTAAGTAGCTTCTTGTTTTGGATATACAGTTTAGGGCAAGACTGTTTTTTCAATGTAATTTTAAACTGTTATTGTACCAATGCTACAATAATTTCATGGGCAACAGTGTAGGATTTTCTACCATTAATCATCTATTTTGTAAAGACAATGAAAATAGAAATAAAAGATGGAGTCCATTTTGAACTTCAACAAGTGCAGTTCTTATCGAGCAGTTTCATTCTTTTCCCCCCTCTATTTCCGTTATACAAGAATACAACAACTATGTACAGTTTTCTTCGTTCAGTCTTGTTCACACTCTTTGTTAAACACAAGATGTTCTTGGATGTAGGAGATCACTTGAATAGGAATGTGGTTATTAGAAAAAATTGTGGTGATGGAACCTAGAGCCAAATCAGCAGTATAAATGGGATTTAAAACGGTCCCTTGCGGTATGCTGACTTATATTGGTCTAATATCTGAATACTCGCTTAAGAAAAACAAATAGAGCTACAAAGTAAACTAAAATAAATCTTTAATATTATTATACAAATTTAAATAAATATTAATAAACTAACAAACTATTTTAAAAATCACCAGTCTAAACATTGTTTTTTTGTATTAAAAAGAGGACTATGTTCTGAGTAAAACTGGTTAAACCACCGACGATATTTGGCCACAGTTTTGTCCTCCTTCAGGAGTAAAGGGTTCTCGATGAATTTTTTGTGGTTCCATATCATAATATCTCTTTCAACCTTCAAGAATATGCATTTAAACTTATGGGACAAAAATATATGAATGTTTTTAGAATTTTACCTACCATTATACTCTCAGCCACTAGAGTTAATGTAGCATACAAAGCGAGATAAATGGGGCAATAGAATCTATGAACCACTTTCTGTATCATCGGCTCAACAGGAGTTACAGCTTGTAAAATGACCATTGGTCCAATAGTAGTGTGCATACGCATAATCACATAACCCGGGCCAATCTACAAAATAATCATTAACATATAAAGCATTATAAAATTTGTATTGATTTCAGGTTGATTTACCTGTTCTATATCCACAGTCAATGATGCTAATTTAATCTTTCCAAAAAGACTGATGAAATGTGAAAGTTTACCAAAACCAATATGCTTCATACTAGGTTCACCGCCAGGTTCCCATTCTGCGCTCCAGTTGTGGCGAAAGAATTTACACCAAGTGGCTTCTGTTTGATGGATGTCACTGCCTGTCAGCATTGAAGCTCCATGGACAGCATTAAAATGCCATAAGTCACTACCATTTTCAGGAATATCCTTAAAAGGAAAAAATAGCTTTGATACATCTGTTTATAACTCGTATAAAATAGGAAAAATAATCATTTGGATATTTTTCCAGTAATAATATGTAGTAAAAATGTATTTCATTCTACATTCATTATTGCATGAATACATAATGATAAAATTAAAAGAAGACATTGTTGTCATGTAGATTAATAGAGAATGGTGTACAATTGCACTGAAAGCAATAAAGCTTTTGTTTTAATTGACCTGAAATAAGGAGACAGAACTAAATAAAGATATATCTACAAAATCACAAATTATTTAAGTATACAATTACACAAAACCAAGAACACAACAGAGAAAAAAGAAAAACAACACATTTATAACTGTCAAACTTGAATGATCAAATAAATAAATGTTCAAACATAAACACTTGTCTTAGCAGTTTTACACACTAAATTAAATTTTTCCCTCTACAAAGACAACGTACAGTGGGTCAAAAGGTATTGGCAACCACATTTTTTTTAAATCCCAAAAATATAATGGTTAATTGTCTGATACTAAATTTATTTAAAAACTAGTATTTTTTGGTGGCAATAAATTGAGCGAATTATAAAAATTATAATATAGATAAAAATAATAAATGACAGTAGGAATTGCAAGAGTCAAAAAAGTATTGGGACATTAGAAACCTTTTTAAAACTAAATTTTATTTACACTTTAATATTTTGTTAGCATGCATCAATTATGGCCTGAAATGTTTGCAACATCAAAGATATAAGGTTGTGGGTTATTTCAGGTCTAATTTGATCCCATTCTGGTAATACATCAGTTTGTAGCTGATGTTTTGAAGAAAATTCATTTTTCTTACCTTTAAGTTTAACAAGTACCACAAATGCTTTATGGGATTTATATCCGGTGATTGCAATTGAGTTTTGATTTGTTTCCAAACATTATAAAATAACCATTCCTTCATTTTATTGGTAGTATGCGTCAGATCATTAACTTGCTGAAAGATAAATTTGTCCCCCCCCCCCTGATCACTATCTTTTCAACACTGCTGTCCAACTTATGATGCAAATGACAACATACTTGTCTGCGTTCATAATACCTTTGATCCAATTTAGATTTCCAACACCATTTCATGACATGCAGCCTCAGGTTCCCACCGTGTTTCACCGTTAGCCTGACATTATTCTTTTCAAAGCAGTATTTGGATTTCTGTAGTACTTGCTTTCATCTGAAAACATGTTCCCTAATATTCTAATAATTAATTTATATAGGAATTTTTGCGAACTTAAGAGTTTTTTTGGGATTGACTTCACTGATAAATGGTTTCTTTCTTTGAACTCTGACATAATAATTAAAACTGTGAATTATATCCCTTACTGTCAGGATGCTAAAAGTTGTGTAGAAGTAAGATGCAACTTCTTTAGATAAGCTAGAGGGTGTTTTTGCCATTGTTTTGTGGATTCTCCTTATTTCTCTTTAAGAAAACTTTTGTGGCCACCCAGAACGTCATTTGTTTAGGACTGAACCCATCTCATTGTTCTTTTTTATTGTGTTTCTGTTTATTCTGTGTTCATATCTAGTTGATTTGCAATTTCAGGATGACTTTATCTACTAAAACGCAATTAACTAACAACACGAATGCGTAATGACACACAATGCTCTTGTATTTTAGCCATTATTACTACTAAACTGGTCAAAAAATAATTTAGAATAATGATGTTCATTCTTGGTTGTGTTTATTTCGGATTGAAATTTAGTAAGAAACAATAAATATTTATATTTGTGAGATTTAAGGAAAATGTGGGGTGTACTAATGTTTTTGACTCACTGTAAGTAAAAAACTTAACTGGCTTGTGCCTGGTGTTGAGTAAAAGAACATCCTCAATAACAAAGAAATACCTGGATATGGCAATTGACCAAGAACTGGTTTCTTCCTCTGTAAATGAACTTCCTATTTTCGATACTATCTACTGAGTTTGGGTACCATGTTGGGGGCTCATCTTCAGAATGGTACCAAACAAAAATCATATCGTTAATCTCATGAACATTCCAGCATTTCACTTCAGCAAAATTTGGCACTGAAAAGTCCAACTGAATTTGTTTAATTTCTACTATATTTTATTGATTTATAAGATTGAAATATTTACCTTTGCTAGAGTACGGCACTGATATGCATTTTCCAGTTATGCCGCTGAACCTCCACTGATGAAAAGGACATTCGATGCAGTCCCCGTGTACTTTTCCACCAATGCCCATATTGGCGCCTAGATGGGGGCAATAGGCGTCAAGTACATGACATTGCCTATCAGCAGAACGAAACAAAACAAAGTTTTCTCCTAAGAAATACAAACATTTTAATGCATTCAGCATGCAAAAAAGTTAAGAGCATTATTTTTCATCAACTTAGGATGTAAGAAGAAGTTGTACATTGAATCCAAGATTAATATATAAAATCTTAAAAGTTGTTCTCAAAGATAATTAATAATTAATAATAATGTACATATGTAATATATTGTAATGTATGTAATAATTAATAATAATGATTATTTGGAGATCGTGAGGTGCGGTCTGGTGTGACGTAGGTTTAAAAAAAACCATTTTCTTTATTATGCCAATGTTTCTTGAGATCAACTTCAGGGGGTTTATTTTCTGTGTAGATGTGTCATTATTGTGTTGTGTTGAGAGTGTCCTTTGCACTTTGAGCTCTGAAGATGATCTCAATAAAGATCGAAACGTTGGCACGATAAAGAAAATGTTTTTCTAAACCTTCGTACACCAGACCGCATCTCATGATCTCCAAATAATCATTAATTAATGGTCACTAAAAAACCACACACCAATAAGTTTTTTTGGGGGGGGGGGGTAGATGCATTCTGGCATTGTGCCATCATCATTTGACTAAGTGTGTGTCAATCATGTCCTTTTCTACTATTTGACCTAGATGGTGAAATGCTGAAACATATCTGGGGTAAAACCAGAGGAAGACAGTCCTGGATAACTGACTAACAGTCCAGCTACGGTTTCTCCACCTAACAGACCAATTTTGAAGACAATGTAACTGATCGTTGAATCCAAATTCATTAAACATTTCTTATATGCTTTTAGGAGATTAGTCAATTAGCTAGATTATCTGTTACTTGTTAATGTTGGTTGTGTTTGTTGATCTAAGAGTGAGTAGATGAACACATGATGAACTTATCACTTTACTGGGTCTGCCTATTCTCACTGGTTTACACGTCCACTTATACTTGTTTTGGATGTATCTTTCAACTTACTAAACTGAGTTTCTTACTGAAGATAGCACAAAGCTAAAAATCTTATGACTTGTAAATCCGCAAGAGTAGACAGGCCGAGTAAAGCGATCCAGCTTCAATCAGTTCAATAAATATACACATGCTTATGTTTAAATTTTATAGGTTTGTTTTGTAAATGCGAAGTGCAGAAATATATTCTATTTGAGACTTTTCCATATAGATATTCTATATGAATAAAAGTTTCGATTTTTGAATTTTTAAGCAGAAGAAGAGAAATGTCTACTTACCCAATGCTGAAATATGAAGTACTTGATTTACAGCTATGTCGGATGACTCGGCAATCATGAACCACCCATTTGGAAAAACAGGGGGCAGTTTTCCTAAATTTCTGCCGTTCTTTGCCAATTTAGTGCCATCTTGCTTTGAGTAAACACCTTTATTTAAATACCAGTAGCCCACAGATTCCAAGTCCTATGGAAAAAATGTCTTTAAAACGTTTTTTTTTTCTTCTTTTTTAATTTTGCTTATATAAGTAATTCTTATGTCAGTAAAATCGGAACAGTCCTTAATTACACTATCTCTTTTTCTCTTGCTCTTTGTTCATGATGAATTAATTTTGTTTTTAAATGATAATTCTTCAATATTTGACTACTTTTTACGGAGAGAAATCCAGCCCGGAGGACTTACTTTTCAAACCAACTAGCGTAACAAGTCTAAATTTTAACATTTAGACAGGAAAAAATCAGTAGAAATTTATGATCTGAGATTAAAAATTATAAAAATATAAAAATACACAATAAACACAATTTTAAAAAAATTACACAAGACATACAATTAAGAATCTTGATTGGAGTTTTCTTGCTGAAGTTGAAATATTATTAGTCATCTGAGACAGTTTTTTCCTTCTTAAGACTCTATACTTGCACATTTTTGTCCAAATTGGACTTTGTAAACATAATTACACTATTTTAATAAATCATATTTAAACAGAATCAAGAAACCTAGGATTAAAATAGATTACACAATTCTATGGATATTAACACACAATACCACCCACTCTAAAAGATGAAGCCATAACCTCTCCAAAGGAACTAAGTAGGTACCAAGGTAACTGATCAAAGGATCAAATGGAGAAGACATGGGCCACATAATATATAAAGGCCAAGGCACTACTAAACATTGGCCAGAGAGTATGCAGCAAAACCTGGATATTGTGCATTGGTTATATGCCAAAACCGTCAGTCCCATGGCCTCATATGGGCAACTAGTGGCCAAAAATACTGCAAAATGATTCACAAAATAAATTGCAAAGTCTACAAAGACTAGCATCTCTTAACTAACAGTGGCAAAGCATACTTGCCCATAAGTAGATAGAAGCCGCAATCGATCTCACACTTTTACCATTCTTGTACAAAATCTTGAAGTGATAATAATAATGTTTTATTTGATTAAACATTTTATATTGCAGATATAGCACAAGTAAACAAATATCTATATATTCTTGGGACAAACAAAAAACTATTGAAAACTATAAACTAACGAATATTGCACACACATGTGTGTGTGTGAAAAACAGATAAATAAACACTCATACACTGAAATAACTATTTAGAAATTAAATTTTTTAATTAAGATACTTCTTCAAAATAACCAAATTGTTTCCAATAACTAAATTAAAAAATTCTCTTTCAGTGAGCATATATTAGTCTAATAATTAGGTTTTTACATTCAAACTTCAAATCTAATTTGCATTAAATTTTTAATAAATTTTATGATCATGATGCGATCTATTTTATGGAACTGAGAGTGTTTTGCTTAGAATAGAAATCCTTCTTTTTCTTTTGTGATAATGGTACCTAATATATGGTTGGTCATCTAATTGCACATTGTAAGTATCAGCCAGCTGTAACCAGCATTGATACAAGGATATTTTGGATTTTATAATTTCTGTAGTTACTAAATAGGTTAATAAACTGTCTCTACAGTGATTTGACAAAATCTTTAGTACACGTTTAGACGGAAGGTGAGCACAGAAGTTCTCCAACCATTAGATAAAGAGTTTCACTCTCCTCATAGTGCCCATTTCCCCATATGTGGCACTTATAATTAATAACCCGTAACACCCTATCAAAAATTAATATTTTGCAGGCATACTTATTTGATAATTGTAGATAAAATTATCCCAGATCGAACCCATGCTCCTGAGATACCAAAAGATAAAACTAGATCTAAGGAGAAGCAATCACAAAATTCTAGAAAGAATTAAAATAAATGAGATGGATGAATACCATACCTGGCGAGATGTGAGGAAAACTTAGCCTTGACAGACCTTCCTAATGATCATATATAACAGATTTTTTGCTCAAAGACACCCTTGAGTTCAGGAGCCATAAGACTATAACATGGTATGATGATGGATCAAAAATGAAACTGGGAGCAGGTGTTTGGGTAAAGAGGCTAAATTACATCCTAGCAAAACCACATGAAATGGTTCCAACTATATTCCAAGCATAGGTCCATGTAACTTTGTGCACATGAGTTGATAAAGAAGAAAATGAAGGGTACAAGGATTTACTTCCGACAGTCAGGTATCTATAAAAGCACAAAATATTAATGCTTTTAGCTGCGTCTAATGTCCCTAGAAGAACACATCAAACTTACTATGTGGATTCAGGACATAAAGGTATAGAAGGAAACCAACTAGCCAAATTGTCCCGAATGCCCACGGACCCATGCGAGGGTCAGGTCAATGGTGTCATTGACTTATTCCAGGGTGTCCATACACTTTTGCCTTTAGTACAGCCTTACTGTCAGAGCAAATCTTCATGAAATGTGTTCCAATCTTTTTTATTTCTCTGGCGCAGTGTTCAATTGCTGCATAGCATCAAATGCTATGATTTCAGACTGAAAAATTCTAGCGTATTTAGCTATGTTTAAGGTCAGTTTGGTTTCTGGATTCATCCCGAGGACTCCAGCTCCCATGCATTTATCCGTTTTTGAGCCATCATTATACCAGTAGGAATTGGCCTTCAGAGGTGTTCCTTCGGTCCACTCTTCCCTTTCTCGTACAAGTACCTCGTACTTGTTGGTGAAGTTATATTGAGGTCCATAAATCTCTCAAAAAGAAGAAGAAGGAAATGGAAGGAAATCAGCTCTCTCTGAGCAGGCAAGATTTGGTTAGAATTAAAGGCCTGTACGCAGGCCGCTGCCATCTTGCCTACCATCTAAAAAGAAATTGTCCCCCTTATTTCACACAACATGATAAAAATTATTTAAAAAAATTAAAATAACACAAAACGATTAGAAACTTTGATCGGATTTTTTGTGGGTAAAAGTTTAAATATATGTAGCTGGTCATCTGACCCGGTTTCTTTTCCTTTTAAAATTACATACCTCCTAATGTATATTAACATTGGCTTAATATACACAATAATAACTAATAATAATGGAAATTGTTTTTACTTTTACGTAATTTATTGGCCGGACCAAGTACCGGTAAACTAGACAAATTGAAATAAAGCCTAGCATCAGTTTCCATAAATTATTCACTTCCAGTAGATCTATCTGCAATACGGTGTCCCAAAAATAATAAATAGTACTCCACATGTTGTATCATCTGAAAAAATAAAAGAAAATTTATTTATTTCATTCCTAGACGTCTTTAACTTGTAATGTAAAAATTGAATCTTTAAAATTGAATTTTTACATCGTTATTTAATTTAGTGGTTGATTAGGGTATTTCTGAGGAAGCTAATTTGGTTAGAAACGAAACGGAAAACGGACTGCGACTCAATTTAGGGTCAACGCAATTTGCAAGGACAAAGACTAGTGGGACGGTTTCAACGTACGTGGAGGCAATGAAAAATATAGTTGAATCAACGTCTAGACCACTCGGGAAAGCGTTTAGATAGAAACATTTTGTATGCAAATCTGACTGTTACTCCATTGAAAAGACGCCTAAACATTTCCTATTTCCAGGGGGATTTCAAACTCTTAAAATTCCAATGATGCTCCCGATTCGAACCATCAAACTTCAATGACAAATTGATGTTTCAAGCGTGAGCGTGTTATTTTATTAGCAGCTAATTACAAATCGGCAGTGCGACCAAGAAGACCTCATTTCTCTCCTCTTCTTCCTCTTTTAAGTTCAAAACTTAACACATCGATGAATCGTTATTGTCAATTGGTTTATAAAAATCCTGCAATCTGAGTGAGATCAGATTATTAAATATGATAACGGATTATGATTTGTAGCTTCATTCAAATTCAATTCATATACAATGATCTAACCAAAAGATGGAAAAAAAAGAAAAAAATGCGATTACTGCATTGATAACAATAAAACAAGTTGACGAGTTTGATAAGAGATACATCTATGTCAAACTTGAGCTGAATCTCTATGTTCGACAGTGCAAACTTCTAGGAAAAGGCTTGCATCATCACCCCAGGTTTTTTAAAACTAGAGAGCAAGAGCACTGTGCAGCTCTAGCAAAAATTAAAGGGTTAAAGTGTTAACTGTGATAAGATGAAGTCACGCTTATACTTTTCGATTCCAACAATAGTAAATGAGCTTCAGCAGATAACATATACAATGAGTGTATTGCCATTTAATTGATTTTGCCAGGGTTAATTAAGATAATAAAGCGTATTAAAACTTAAAAAAATGTGTGGTGATTAGTGACCGTTAATCGATATTTATTTAGAAATCGTGAGATGCGGTCTGGTGTGGTTTCACCTCAAAGAAGCCGACGCCTTGTACAAAAATGCCTTTTCTATACCGACATCCTTCCCCAACCCTTCAAAATCCAACGTATAAAAACACATAATAGCAAAATCTCACTGGCACTCTCGACACGACACGCAAGAATGGCACAATTACACAGAAGACAAACACTTTGAGTGAGTAGAAATACTTTGATTGAATATAAAAAATATATTTTGCATTGTATAAATTCACTTTTCCACATCCAAAATGTAATTGTTATATGTAAACAATGTTTGTAAATCCCAGGCCCTGAAGATGATCTCAATAAAGATCGAAACGTTGGCACGATAAAGAAAATGCTTTTCTGAAACCTACATCACACCAGACCGCATCTCACGATTTCTAAATAAAAAACTTAAAAAAATGCTAAGATGGAATTTGCTGGCTCGTTAATACTTTCCAATCATGTTAAATCTATAAGTTCAGTATATTTTGATCAATTGTCTAAAGATTAGTCGAGTTTTCCGAAGATCCTCTCTTATTTTTTATATTCTATATCTTTATCCTTTATTTCGCAGATGGCTCAATTACTCCTACACCGATCCCACACTTGCTTCGGAAGAGAAATATTTTATGTATAACAGATTGGTAGAAAATGGAAAATGAAGAAACGAAAGTAAGTGCGTATATGCCACATGTTGTATACTCCGAAGCACTACCTTTCCTAACCCAAAATCTGCGTTACCTTGAGCTCCACCTCACGTCATAGAATCAGCATAATCGACTGAAACGACAAACCATAAACAGCTGCTGTCTACTCTAAACACTTATAGGATGATAATCCAAGCTATCGACGAAAAACAAACTAACAATATACAAAACGGTACTACTATCTATTTGGACGAACACTATAGAACTGTGCAGGAATCGCTATATCATATAACATCCAACGACTCCAAACATTTCAATCAAAAGCAAGTACATCCATTGTAAATGTCCGGTATTACATTATTAATAAGTTCGAAAGTAAACTCTCTTATCATCCCAATAGTCTTGCCCAAGCCCTGTCCAACAGATCCCATCCCTACAAACAAATAAGGCGAAATCCGGCCCGAAGCACTACTCGTCGTAACAACTAACATTATCAGACTAAATTATAAAGCATACATGGGGAAGCTACGGATGTTAGCTCACCGATTTCAATGAAGCTTTTTTGGTGACACTAGGTCGAAAAAAAACATTAGATATTTTTGATATAATATTCAGTGTGCTCTTGCGAATTAGGAGCCGAGAAAATAATTAATTGTTTTTTTAAATATGTTTTTTGCTCTCTGTCTTAGAAAGTGGAATACGTGTCCGAAGCGAGAAAATCAAAATTTTGATGTACACGGACGATGTAGGGATATTTACAGACAGCAGACTACAGAGAAACACGATCTTCTGGAAGAATACTGTGAAAAATGAAAAACTTTACAGCCAATCTAAACAAGTCTAAAATAATCATCTTCAAAAAAATAAGTAAAATCCGTTTTTTAGAAAAATGATTTTATAAAGAGAAAGATAGAGACAGTAACTGAATATAATAAATCTGGGTGTTATATTAACTCCTCGTTTATCATTGTTCACTTCAATGCAAATGGTTTCATCGCTAACATAATTTTAAACAAAACCTGGTCACACCTGATTTTACAAAATATAATCCGCCTTAAAACGAAGTTTACCATTTTTATCGCGGTATGTAAGGCTATATTGTTTTATGGGCGTCAGGCTTTTTTGAGACATCAGAAAAAGTGCAATGATATTTTATTAGAAAGCTTCTTGCATTGCCAACTCCTGTATCCTTCCATTGCCAATATTCACTGTATCTGGAAACTACTGTAGAACCACTTTTCATTTCTAAGTTAAGACTCCATTTTGAATATGTAATCAAAAAGGAAAACCTTCTAAGATACAGCAGTTGAGGTAGTTAACAGAAAAATTGCATGGTTTGCACTGGCACACGCTTTTCCGGAAACACGATCTTGACGTATTCCTGACTTTAGATAACATATCCTCTTGGAGAACTCATTATTTGTTCTGTTAAATAAAATCAATGCCCACCACTAGGAGAATTGGTTAGAAAATGTCCACTTTAGTGAACACGTTAAAATTTAGAAAGGACTTAGACACGTCACGGTATTTCTAACGTAAAGAAATGTAGTTATAAAGATGTCACCCTGGCAGAGCTCCGTTGGCTTTATAAAATTCGCTGCGAGGTTTTACATTTCAAGACAGCATTATAGATCGGGGGAAACTCAGAAACGTGTAATCTTTGCAATCCGCGTTGAGGACTTATTTCACTTGGTGCTCGGATGTTCAATAGTCAGTGAGATACGCTTTTCATATTTTGATATTGTGTTTGAGAGAGAAAAATTCTTTCAAATGTTAAATGGACTAAATACTCATACGTACGATTTCATGTGTTAATTTTCACCTTAATTTGAGATTAACACTAATGTATGTGTTTCCGCTTTTACAGTTTCCCCTGTATTTTTAGTTAATATTTGAGCAAGTCCATTTGATTTTATATATCTTTATTTTATTTATTAGTTATTCAGATATCGATTAACGGTCACTAATCTCTACACATTTTATTCATTATTATTTTTTACATTATTTTAAAAAAATCAGTTATCATTGTAAAAACGAGTAATTTATTTTGGCAACAACCTCCGGCATGCTATAATGCTTTTGTTAATTATTTGTTTGTAAATTATTTATCAATAAAAGTACGTCTTGTCTGTCGTAGTATGTCTATCTACCTACCTATCTACCTAAATATGGTTTTCTGCTTTCGTGGTGCATGTACTTTAAGGCTGTTTTATCTCAGTCGATTTGATATTTTACCTAGGAAAATAAATTAATATGAAGGGTGGAATTGGATGCGAATAGACATACAAAAAGACACAAAAACAAAACGAAGCTCTACTAAAGTATGCAAAATGATCTATAGAATAAATTCGGAATCGTTTTAAACACCCTTTGAAGCCCCTTTGCGTTTGTATGCAACGTTGTTTAAAATATTTTTCAAGCAAGGAACAAAGTTGATATTCGTTTTCTCAAAATAAAAAAATCAATTACAATTTTTTGAGAAAATCAAAACATCCTTGTTTTCGAAAATCACATTAATAGTAATTATTTTAAAACGACTTGGCCAATCGATAAGTGTTAGAACCTTGGGTTTGAACTTCATAAACTACACTTAAGCCCTCCTTACAAATGTTACACACAAATACAAATAAAAAAATAAAAAATTCTTCAAAAGCTTTAAACGCCCTCAAATGTCCGTCTTCTACCAGATGGATGTATCCTAACTATGGTTAGGATCCTCATTTCTATTTTTTCGCTCAATTTTGCCTCTGTTGGAAAAACTTAACTATTTATTTTCAACCATGTAACTGTGTCCATAATTTAAAAATGTGTTCTCGTGGACCTTCTCGTCGTGCTCTTGTTGAAGAAAACTTTGAACTGGGCATCTCGGCGAAACGGTGTGTTTGTCTGGATACCTGGACAGATAAGTCTGGAGGATAAATTATCGCTCTAACGTATCAAGAGCATGGTCGTTATAGGCCCAAAAAATTTCTCAAAATGTTCACCTATGAACGCCTTCGATTTTTCACAAAAATGATATAAGTAGTAATAACTTTGAAACGTCTTCCGAAGTTCACAACGGCTTAAAACAAACCGCGGGCCTCCGTAAATACACTAGGACTAAAGGTATAAAGTAGAACTTTGGATCAGTATTTGTCAACTTTATTATTTAGTTGTATTAAAATAATAAACTAGAATTTAAACAAAATCCAGAGTTGTAATGAATTATTAAGTGGAGCGATTGAAAAAAACTTGTTCCCAGCGAAGAAAGAAAAAAGTTT